CTTTGTAGCATTGAGCATTAAGTAATTTGTATTATATTTACGTGTCGATTAATTAACATGTTAGTATAATCAAACGTAATGAAGATTGTAAATCACAGATAAGGTTTTAATAATAGCTATTGTTTGTTTATGTAGTCAAGTGAAATTAACCATGGTTTGTAAGAGTAAAGTTTGGCGCCCCCTAAAACTCCGGGGCCTCTGACTGCTGCCCTCTCAGCCTACCCCTCAGTCCGCCACTGCTCAGTAATGTATTTAGTGCACGTACGCAGCATTATACAAAACTATATCTAGCCATTTTTATGTCTATCTCAATTAATAACTTTATATATATATATATATATATATATATATATATATATATATATATATATATATATATATATATATATATATATATATATATATATATATATATATATGTGAAGATGTTTTTTACATGGTAACATAATTATTTGTTACAGCATTAAATTGTAAAATCATTTATAAAAAAATGTCGGCCCATTTTAGCCGATACATGTTGTTCGTGTGGTCGTGATGTATCCAACAAATCACCGAGAAGCTAGTTCTTTTGCATGAGCTCGTAGAATATTCCTGTGCCAGAGGCGTAGTCAGTGAATGGGGGGTTTGTGTTTTGGTTGTAACATGTGTGGGGGGGGGGGGGGAGTTGTTCTTAACTCCACTTCCACCTGCACGCACACAAAAATAAGCGTGCTACTGAATGGCAAAAACAGCAGCTGGAAAAATAGCCGATACTACTTTAATATATTACCACACCTCGTCTTTATTTACCTTTGTCGAGTATTATACATTCAAAAAACAAAACGCCGAAATGACGAAAGCATCATATTCCCAAAACATAACACCATATTCACTAACACGACACCATCTTCCCCAACATGACACAATATCTCCCAACAAAACACCATCTTACACAACTAACAATATATTCCCTAACACGACACCATCTTCCCCAACATGACACAATATCTCCCAACAAAACACCATCTTACACAACTAACAATATATTCCCTAACACGACACCATCTTCCCCAACATGACACAATATCTCCCAACAAAACACCATCTTACACAACTAACAATATATTCCCTAACACGACACCATCTTCCCCAACATGACACAATATCTCCCAACAAAACACCATCTTACACAACTAACAATATATTCCCTAACACGACACCATCTTCCCCAACATGACACAATATCCCCCAACAAAACACCATCTTACACAACTAACAATATATTCCCTAACACGACACCATCTTCCCCAACATGACACAATATCCCCCAACAAAACACCATCTTACACAACTAACAATATATTCCCTAACACGACACCATCTTCCCCAACATGACACAATATCTCCCAACAAAACACCATCTTACACAACTAACAATATAGTCCCTGACACGACACCATCTTCCCCAACATGACACAATATCTCCCAACAAAACACCATCTTACACAACTAACAATATATTCCCTAACACGACACCATCTTCCCCAACATGACACAATATCCCCCAACAAAACACCATCTTACACAACTAACAATATATTCCCTAACACGACACCATCTTCCCCAACATGACACAATATCTCCCAACAAAACACCATCTTACACAACTAACAATATATTCCCTAACACGACACCATCTTCCCCAACATGACACAATATCCCCCAACAAAACACCATCTTACACAACTAACAATATATTCCCTAACACGACACCATCTTCCCCAACATGACACAATATCTCCCAACAAAACACCATCTTACACAACTAACAATATATTCCCTAACACGACACCATCTTCCCCAACATGACACAATATCTCCCAACAAAACACCATCTTACACAACTAACAATATAGTCCCTAACACGACACCATCTTCCCCAACATGACACAATATCTCCCAACAAAACACCATCTTACACAACTAACAATATAGTCCCTAACACGACACCATCGTCCACAACATAACACCATCGTCCATAAAATAACTTCGTATTCCCTAACATTACACCATATTCCCCAACAAGACACAATATTCCCCAACATGACACCATCTTCCCCAACACAATACTGTGGTGATCTAATGTGTATGAAAGGTGAATACGTGGAAAGGATCACTGCGTGTATGTATCATGTAGCGAGACTGGGTGTGTTGGCGTGTTTGTTGTTGTTCAGATGAACGAGGGTACAAGGGAAGCGACTAGTCGGGTAACAGCGGCTGTGTTGTGAACGAGAGAAAGGTGGTGTGTAGGAATGAATGCGGAGGACAGTTGAAAGCAAACATGTTGATCTGGGGCTGGAGGTGTGTTTGAGAAGAAATATAAGAGACTGTGATACATAGCCTCATTTGTGTTGGTTTGTGTATTCTATGAGATTCCTGACACCCTCACATCACCCCCACAAATACCTTACACACAACACTGACATTAAGAGCTAATAAATTGTACACAACATGGGTGTAACTGTTGTTGGTCATTTGCGCTGATATTTTGGTCATTGAGCGGTGACATTCATACATAATTAATTACTCAATAATTACATAGGTGACATTCAAACCCCCCCCCTCCCCCCTCACACACAACCTGCGCATGTTAATTCACTAAAGCCAACGCCCAAAACGTTTCATTTTGTACTCTCGTCCTTGTTACGGTGGTCATTATTTTTCATCACTACATTTCTTTACAGAATCTCTACACAAAATTTACACAAACTTTACACAAAATTTACACAAACTTTACAGACACTTCCCAGAAACTAACACCCTTCATAGCTACTTTATTATTTGTCTATTGATGCATAAAAGCTTGACATTAAAATTATATAATTATAAATAAACACAAGCACATAGGAAACAATCCAACAAATTAATTGTATAAAAATTTATTACATTTTCTGTTGACACATTTAAGTGGAGATAAATGGAGTTAAAAATTACTTAAGTTTTTTATCACAGATTTAAATATAATGATATTTTTAAAAATCTACTCATAAAAATATTACACGGATGCATCTATTTATTTGCAATCAAAAAGAGAAAGTAGCCATCTTGTATGTTAATTTACATAAAGTTGACAACTCATTTATTTATTTTTGTGTAAAAAAATTATTATTATTATTAATTTAAAGCTGATTATTTCATTTAATAGCTGACCAAATAACACTAACTGAATAAATATCATCAATGATTTTTAACAAAATTACAATAAAAAATAATTTATATTGAACTAAAAGGTTTAAAATATAAATAAAACAACAAATTTGATTGCAGCTGATACTAAAATAGAGTCTACTTTATAAACATTCATTAGTTATTCATACAAAAAAAAACGGTACTGATTTTTTTGGCGATAATAAAATAAATTTTGGCTTAAAATAGTTTGCCATTTGGTTTTATTTGGTTGAATGATAGAGACATTAATCTGGCCACAAAGTCTTTTACTTCAACAGAACATATATACCTGCCCTCTACTACATTGAAGTTTAATTCAAAACTTAAAAAGAAGCTTTATTTTTTTCTTTGATTCTAAAGATAGTACCAAAGTAATTATAATTATAAAATTATAATAATAATCGAAAATCTAAAATTAACCATAAACTTAAAAAGAATTCTTTCCACAGAATGAAATAAAAATTACAGAAGCATGAGCAGGTTTTGTTTAATTGTTATCTTGGGGAACTATCCCTGATTACATACACACACTGTTAAACTGAAACATCCAATCCAGTGTTTCTTTCAGACTTTTTTTCTCGGGGATGGGACGGGGATGACTTAATAATTACTGGGGGAGGGACTCAATTTTCAGAGAGAGGGTGGCTGACACTGGTAAAAGTATATATTTTCTAAATTCCATTTTGTTCCAGGGGCGGTTGACTTTCTTCAGGAGGGGGGGGGAAGGGTTGGAAATCACACTCAAAGAGATGCCTGGAAGAAACTCTGATAAAATCGAAAGATCAAAACAATGTTTCTAGTTGTGTGTGTGTTGATAGAGCCCAACTACAGATATTTCTAAACATGCAAACAATGTTGATTGAGAAATGTCAAAATTGGTTTTAGTAAAATACACAAAACAATATTTCTAGTTGGTACTAGAGAAGCTAATCTAAAATATCCATACAAAGTTTTGATAATCTATTCAGAAAGTAAAAGAAAAAATAGATCAATAGAGTAATATATATATATATATATATATATATATATATATATATATATATATATATATATATATATATATTCAATAGGGATGAAACAGATCTATATATAAAAGTGCTTTTATAAAGAAGTGAGTGAGTATATTGGTATTTATAAATATCTACAAAAAGTTTATACTTGACAATAATTTGTTAAACACTAGCTCATAGAAATGCAAAGGTTATGTTACTAGTTGAAGGCACATAATGATGGTCTTTTTTATTTGTCATTTAGTCTACATGATATGAATAATTTGATAAAAAGAGTTGTTTAAAATAGTCAATGTATTAAATATAAAATGGTTTTGAGGCAAAATAAAAAGTTTAAAATTTGGTAAACATACTTCCCTTAAAACTTACTGTACATACATAACCACTCCATTTTATGCATGGGTAATCAAAAGCATAGTTGGTTTTAAAAAGTATAAGTTGGCTGGCCATGTTTCTACAAGGTTACTTAAATATCTCACTAACACCATATTTAAAACAACATGCAAAAAGTACATCTCCTTAACCAGCTTATATTTCTGAGGTTCAATTACCATTCTTAAAACTATTTTAATTATGATTAAAAAAAAATATAACTTAAAATTCGTTCTTAACACTCTGGGGCCTACACATATGTATGAAGATAATGACCTGAAAACATACTTCACCACAGGTTTACAACCTTTTAGTTCATACATTATCATTGGGTATATAAGTTAACTACATACCTACATTTACTATCTGATCAAGTCAGGTTAAAAGTAAGTCGTCATAATTTGTCATTCTGAAATTACCCGAAAATAAAAGTCACAATTCTTTAATAATTTATATAAACTGGACATTCATTTAAGACATTTAAAACGGGATTTAAAATAATCGAGGTTTAATCAGGGGTAATGTTTAATAGGGGAGGGTGGGGCTGGTATGGATGCACCAGGCTCACCAAAGACAGTGGAGTAAGAGTTCTTGAGGAACTGGACGTAGTTCTGCATGGAGCGGTTGGTGGAGTGTGATTGTTCCAGCCTGTCTTTTAGGTCGTAGAGTCGAGAGTTGAACTTGCGCTCGTTCTGTGGGAGGAGGAGTTAAAATTTTTGCCACTTAAAAAATTATTTCTTTACACCTATTAACACTGGAGATTGTTTCTTTTTCTTTGCTGCATGGGAACGATTATAAGATTTTAAAATATCAACTCCTTTGTCATGTACCAACATAGTAGATGTACACAAGGCTAGTTATTTATGGGGAATAACTCAGATTAACTCTAACAATAATTACCAGCATGCAGAGCTAGATTAACCTACATGTTTTTAAGATCCCATTGCTATTTTAGTGAAGCTGAGATTATTCCTTCTTTACTTTCCTCCCTTTACTCTTTCTACGTAAAAAGTCATAACAAGGGAGCAATAACTAGCATGCTAACCTTTCAGACTTTTTGCAACACTAACGCTAAAATGTACATTTATAATTTACTAACTGTTGGTAAATTACTAAATATTGTATATAACTATATATTATTGTAAATTACTAAATATCATTGCAAATAACTAAATATTGTAAATTACTAAATATTATTGTAAATTACTATATATTATTGTAAATTACTAAATATTCTTGTAAATTACTAAATATTGTAAATACTTTTGTAAGTTACTAAATACATTTTTAAATTTAAAAAAATGTTTTGTCAATTACCAAATACTTTTGTAAATTACTGAACGTTTTTGTAAGCGACTAAACAATTTAGTCAAATGCTAGATATTTTTGTAAATTATGAATGTTAGTCTACTTAAAAAGTATTTTACTCACCTCTTCTTTTTCTCTCTTCTGTTTCGCATGTTCAGCTCTTAACTCACTCAGCTGAGTCTCAAGGTCAACTATCCTGCTCTGGTATGTTCGTTCCTTAAATTAATTCAAATGTGGATTAAATGTCTGAGATTTTAAAACCAATAATTTCTATACAAGTTACCAAACCCTTTCTAGAAGGAAAATAGTATGTTCAGTGGAGATTTTTTATAGATACATAGTACATTGAAAAAAATGTATAATAGAATAAGCTGAAGACTATAAAATAATATTCTGAACTTGTAAGGTTTTTTCAATCAGAAAACAAGAAAAATGTAGTACAAACGATGAAAGTATCTTTGCAACAAAATCATGCAGTATGTTTGAAATGATCCTACACAAAATTTAAAAAAAAAAAAAGCTTTGAATGTCACATATATAACTTCAGATTCCATTCTTAAATTGTCATTTTTGAATGTTGTATCAATATATAATTAGAGAACCTGATCTTTACTAGTTATGACAACCAACCTTGGATGTGAATCTGTCCCTGTATTGTTCTTGTTGTTTGCGGTTGTCCATCAGGGCATTCTCTAGCTGTCTGGTCAGGCTGGCATTTTCTCTGGTTTTCTCTTCTAGGCGAAGCTGCAGAATTTAAAATTTTATAAAGTATTTTGAATGTTTTACTGCACCAATCCTTGTAACTATTGCAAATGAGAAGGTTCTAGCTTCGTTTAGATGACATCCACCTATCAAGAAGAAACTACAAAATAAATATTTAAAAAACACAGGTGTGAGTAATTTCCTAAAGATGATATCCACTCGTCTTGGAGAAGCTACAAAGAAAATATTTTAAAAACAATCTTCTTCTTCTTCGTTCTTAATTTTTAGTATCGGAAGGGATCGAACCTTATCTGCCAGAGGGTTTGAACTCGAGACTTTTTCGAATGTATCAACCATGAGCTTTTTTGCCGACTCGACCACATCTCCATCACAATTAAGGATACGTGTCAACTGGTTATGCGCCATTAAGGCCATTGACTCCGATTTTAGCCTGCTTTTCTTTTTGGATTTGCTTCCATAGCCTTTGTCCAACTAAGAACAAACTACAAGGCAGCGGTTGTTTAATTTTGGAGTTGTCTCTCCTAGAAGAGTGGCTGTCCCCAGCTAACGAGCCTCATCTGCCCAAGGGTTCGAACTCGAGACTTCGGTTTAGCAACCATGAGCTTTACCGACTCGACCACGCCGACCCCTTTAAAAACACAATTAAGAGTATCAGTCCCTGGTTAAGACTGAAGAGTGTCAGTCACTGGTCAAGAGAGTGTCAGTACCTGATTAGGACAGTGTCAGTCCCTGGTTATGACTAGTAGTTACACTGACTAGCAAGACTTACAGATTCCTGATGGATTATGTCAAATGTCAGTCCCTGGTTAAGTCAGTCAAATGTCAGTCCCTGGTTAAGACTGTAGTAGTTACACATACTAGCAAGACTTACAGATTCTTGATGGATTATGTCAAATGTCAGTCCCTGTATAAGACTGTAGTTACACTGACTAGCAAGACTTACAGATTCCTGATGGATTATGTCAAATGTCAGTCCCTGGTTAAGACTATAGATAAACTAGCTAGACTTACAGATTCCTGATGGATTATGTCAAATGTCAGTCCCTGGTTAAGACTGTATACTGACAAACAAGACTTACAGATTCCTGATGGATTATGTCAAATGTCAGTCCCTGGTTAAGACTGTATACTGACAAACAAGACTTACAGATTCCTGATGGATTATGTCAAATGTCAGTCCCTGGTTAAGACTGTATACTGACAAACAAGACTTACAGATTCCTGATGGATTATGTCAAATGTCAGTCCCTGGTTAAGACTGTATACAGACTAGCAAGACTTACAGATTCCTGATGGATTATGTCAAATGTCAGTCCCTGGTTAAGACTGTATACAGACTAGCAAGACTTACAGATTCCTGATGGATTATGTCCTGTAACTTGGTCTGGTTGGAGTGAAGTTCAGCGTTCTGCTCCTCTAGATCTTTCAGTCGTCTGCCAGTGGCCACCAGAGGGAACAATTTGTTTTGTGGTTAATGCAGTTTATAGTGAAGACATAGTGTGTTGTTATAAAAATTATATCATTTATTCATTACTTTAAACAGCATTCCTTAACAATGTAATTTATTAGAAAATAGATTATTTACTGCTGAAAAAAGAAGCAGAGAGCTAGTAAATAGTATTCCTTAACAATGTAATTCATCAATAAATAAATTATTATTTGCTGAAATAAGAAGCAAAGAGCTAGTTTTATTATGTTTCATTTATATTTCATCAATTATTAAACCAAAAACTGGAGAACCAATCTTTGCCCTCACCTGAAATATATCTCATAACCTAACTTCATAATTTCATTAGGCCTTTTATGCAATGCCTAGAAAAAGTATATAACGCAAATATTTCATACTTTGCCTAAAAACAACAGGGATTGTATACATTGCCTAGGTATTCTATAGAATGCTGGGTTTTCATACACTGCCGGTAACATACTTTTTCATTCTTTTTATTCTGGAATTAATTTCTTACACAAGGCAGCAAAAACTGCATGAATAAATTCAAACTACAGCCTCTAAATTATTTTAAAAGTAACCATCAGAATAATATCTCAGTAGACACAAATATAACAAAAGGCTATAATATTTCCCACCACTGAAATATTTATCACCTGAAGAGAATTTACCTTTCTAAGCTGTCGTACTTGGACTGTAGTGATCTATTTGAGTCCATGGAGTCATTACATTTATTTCTGTACTGCTCTGTAGCACCGGAGTGATATTCAAGCTGAAAAATAAAATGATTGCTGCCTTCATGATTAGTCTCCATGTGAGGAGCGGAGAATGTGATTTGGTGACTTAATATATTAATAAATTGTGAGTCTTTGTTTTGAAAAGGTTATATAGGTAAAAGAGGCCGACCAAAAACCTGGAGATGTGACCAGGAAGAAGACACCAAGAAGATTGGATACACCTGGGGACAGTTGGAGAGACTAGCCCAGGACAGAGATGCCTGACATCAAGAAGATTGGATACACCTGGGGACAGTTGGAGAGACTAGCCCAGGACACCTGGGGACAGTTGGAGAGACTAGCCCAGGACACCTGGGGACAGTTGGAGAGACTAGCTCAGGACAGAGATGCCTGACACCAAGAAGATTGGATACACCCGGGGACAGTTGGAGAGACTAGCCCAGGACAGGATACACCTAGGGACAGTTGGAGAGACTAGCCCAGGACAGGATACACCTGGGGTCAGTTGGAGAGACTAGCCAAGGACACCTGGGGACAGTTGGAGAGACTAGCCCAGGAGAGAGAGGTCTGACACCAAGAAGATTGGATACACATGGGGACAGTTGGAGAGACTAGACTGGATACACCTGGGGACAGTTGGAGAGACTAGCCCAGGAGAGAGAGGTCTGACACCAAGAAGATTGGATACACCTGGGGACAGTTGGAGAGACTAGACTGGATACACCTGGGGACAGTTGGAGAGACTAGCCCAGGAGAGAGAGGTCTGACACCAAGAAGATTGGATACACCTGGGGACAGTTGGAGAGACTAGACTGGATACACCTGGGGACAGTTGGAGAGACTAGCACAGGACAGAGATACCTGACACCAAGAAGATTGGATACACCTGGGGACAGTTGGAGAGACTAGCCCAGGACACCTGGGGACAGTTGGAGAGACTAGCCCAGGACACCTGGCGACAGTTGGAGAGACTAGCTCAGGACAGAGATGCCTGACACCAAGAAGATTGGATACACCTGGGGTCAGTTGGAGAGACTAGCCCAGGACACCTGGGGACAGTTGGAGAGACTAGCCCAGGACAGGATACACCTGGGGACAGTTGGAGAGACTAGCCCAGGACAGGATACACCTGGGGACAGTTGGAGAGACTAGCCCAGGACACCTGGGGACAGTTGGAGAGACTAGCCCAGGACAGGATACACCTGGGGACAGTTGGAGAGACTAGCCCAGGACAGAGATGCCTGACACCAAGAAGATTGGATACACCCGGGGACAGTTGGAGAGACTAGCCCAGGACACCTGGGGACAGTTGGAGAGACTAGCTCAGGACACCTGGGGACAGTTGGAGAGACTAGCTCAGGACACCTGGGGACAGTTGGAGACACTAGCCCAGAACACCTGGGAACAGTTGGAGAGACTAGCCCAAGACAAAGGTGCCTGATACCAAGAAGATTGGATACACCTGGGGACAGTTGGAGAGACTAGCCCAGGAGAGAGAGGTCTGACACCAAGAAGATTGGATACACCTGGGGACAGTTGGAGAGACTAGCCCAGGACACCTGGGGACAGTTGGAGAGACTAGCCCAGGACAGGATACACCTGGGGACAGTTGGAGAGACTAGCCCAGGAGAGAGAGGTCTGACACCAAGAAGATTGGATACACCTGGGGACAGTTGGAGAGACTAGCCCAGGAGAGAGAGGTCTGACACCAAGAAGATTGGATACACCTGGGGACAGTTCGAGAGACTAGCCCAGGACACCTGGGGACAGTTGGAGAGACTAGCCCAGGACATGATACACCTGGGGACAGTTGGAGAGACTAGCCCAGGAGAGAGAGGTCTGACACCAAGAAGATTGGATACACCCGGGGACAGTTGGAGAGACTAGCCCAGGACACCTGGGGACAGTTGGAGACACTAGCCCAGGAGAGAGAGGTCTGACAGCAAGAAGATTGGATACACCTGGGGACAGTTGGAAAGACTAGACTGGATACACCTGGGGACAGTTGGAGAGACTAGCCCAGGACACCTGGGGACAGTTGGAGAGACTAGCCCAGGACACCTGGGGACAGTTGGAGAGACTAGCCCAGGACATGATACACCTGGGGACAGTTGGAGAGACTAGCCCAGGAGAGAGAGGTCTGACACCAAGAAGATTGGATACACCTGGGGACAGTTGGAGACACTAGCCCAGGACACCCGGAGACAGTTGGAGAGACTAGCTCAGGACAGAATACACCTGGGAACAGTTGGAGAGACTAGCCCAGGACACCTGGGGACAGTTGGAGAGACTAGCCCAGGACAGAATACACCTGGGAACAGTTGGAGAGACTAGCCCAGGACACCTGGGGACAGTTGGAGAGACTAGCCCAGGACACCTGGGAACAGTTTGAGAGACTAGCCCAGGACACCTGGGGACAGTTGGAGAGACTAGCCCAGGACACCTGGGGAAAGTTGGAGAGACTAGCCCAGGACACCTGGAGACAGTTGGAGAGACTAGCTCAGGACAGAATACACCTGGGAACAGTTGGAGAGACTAGCCCAGGACACCTGGGGACAGTTGGAGAGACTAGCCCAGGACAGAATACACCTGGGAACAGTTGGAGAGACTAGCCCAGGACACCTGGGGACAGTTGGAGAGACTAGCCCAGGAAACCTGGGGACAGTTGGAGAGACTAGCCCAGGACAGGTTACACCTGGGGAAAATTGGAGAGACTAGCCCAGGACACCTGGAGACAGTTGGAGAGACTAGCTCAGGACAGAATACACCTGGGAACAGTTGGAGAGACTAGCCCAGGACAGAATACACCTGGGAACAGTTGGAGAGACTAGCCCAGGACACCTGGGGACAGTTGGAGAGACTAGCCCAGGACACCTGGGGACAGTTGGAGAGACTAGCCCAGGACAGTGATGCCTGGAAAGCTTTTGTCAGTGTCAAGGAGGGGTGACAGGCTAATTAACTAAACTAATCTAGGCTGTTTTTGAGCATGATGAAAACACACAAGTTACAGATGCACCTGACCTTATGTGAAAACACTCACCTCCTTCAACCAATCAGATATTACCTAATTTAGTTAATTAATGGCCACAATCAACAATACTCTGTAAGCTAATTAATGGATCCACATCAGCCATAGCTTAGATCTAAGATCATCAAACTAACCCATCAAAGCTACTATGGCTTTAAGCTAATTAATTAGCCCACTACATTAAGTCAGCTTAGCTGAAAGTTAATTAACCCCCCCCCCCCCCCTCTTTTCCCACCTCAATCAACCCAACCTTGACTACAAGCTTATTATTTAACTAATTACTAAGCATCAACTTTAATTTAGCAGTAAATCATAATTAACCACTTGATCTACTCTACCTTGGCATTAACCATCCACCAGCATTCCTCGGCTCGTAGGCCGAAATCTAATTGGCTAATGAACCCACATCCCCCATCTTCCCCATCAACCCTACCTTGGCAGTGAGCTCAGCTATGACCTTGACATTCTCAGCATTCCTCCGCTCGTAGGCCAAAATCTTATTGGCTAACTAACACACGCTCTCATTGACCATTTCTCTACCACCCTTACCTTGGCTGTGAGCTCAGCAATGACCTTGACATTCTCAGCATTCCTCCGCTCGTAGGCCATCATCTGTTCATTAGCCTCATGCAGCCGCAGCTCCGTGGCCCTCAGCATCTCCGGCAGCGGCTCCAGCTCCTCCAGGCGCTGGTGCAGGCGCATCTTGACCTTCTCCAGCTCCTGCTCCCCTTCTCTCTGGATCCTCTCCTTCTCCCTCGACTGCTCCTCCAGCTTAACAAAGGACTCGTCTGCTTCGTTTCTAGTGCGGCTGGCCTAAAGGGAGACAATGAATGATAGTAAATACATGGTAAAAGTGAGGAGATGTAGAAATAAAGAACAATAAATGATAATAAATCAAGGAAATAAGATATAAAAGGAGACAAAGAATAATAGTAAATGCAAGTCTCCCTTCATATGCCGAGGACACAGAAACAAGTGAACCCTACTTCACTTGCCCTTCGAAGACCATCAGGTTTGAAAGGGAACTTTACTTACAAGTAAAAAGTATTTTTTTAAGTACAATAAATAAAAACAAATCAGGAAAAAAGGATATAAAGTATGGTCAGGTATATAATAAATAAGAATAAGTTACTATATTATGTATATTTATTAGGTATGTGAAGCAGAATATAAAATGTATCCTAATACAGGCAGCCCTCATCGTTCATTTATCACAGCTTCAGAACATTCTTGATTCTGGATTATTCAACAATTCAAAATTGAAAAATTATGGCAAGAAAGTTACATTAACACTAGCATAAGGCAGGAAGTGTCCACACAATTCAAAATCTACTAACAACCTATTTACAGTATCTACATATGTTACACACACATGTATCATATGTATATTATTTGTACATTGTTTCAACATATTTTTTTATACTATTAATATTTTATTTACGTCTTTGAAATTATTCTTTAATGTTCTATTGATAACATACACTTATATGGTTTCATATACACGTATTGATATTACACATGTTCTGTAAATTAAAGAAATAAGGGTTTCTATTATAAAATTTAAGTAATTTAGATGACTTTGGAAAATTAATTTTAAAACTTGGTATAATAAAAAAAAACAATTAGCTAAAAGTTATATTAACACTAAATTCTATGGAACCAAACAACTCTATAAAAAATGTGTTTTTCACACTGCAGAAATAGAAAAAAAGAAATGAGAATGTGAAAAACCTATTAGAATCAGCAAGTGAGAAAAAACTATTTAAAATGGCATGCAGTATCATTTTTTTTTTTTGCTTCACTTACAACTGAATTAAATCTTACGCGAAAATAAACTTAAAATTTGTGTAAAGAACTAAATGTAAAGTTAATTGCACAAAGGAATAATTGTATTAAAATGTGTCAGGATATTTCATTTATTTTAAAAATTGTATTTATCATGTTAATTAATTTTTTATGAATTTACTTATTAATGGAAACTTTAAAAAAAAAAAGCTAAATTTTGAAATTAAACACCTTGACACAAGTGCAATGCTGATTAATAATGGTGAAATGTAGAAACAAATTATCAATTCTCAAGATACATTTCAAGTGAACAGTATATTTTCAGTGAATTGTGAAATCAACTGGTATAGTAATGTGAAGAGCCAAGATATATTATTTGTTAATTGTGGAATCAACTTGTATAGTAAATGTGAACAGTCACAAGATATATTTTCTGTGACTGGTGAAATCAGCTGGTAATATAAAAGTGAAGAGCCACAGGATATATTTTCTGTGAATTGTGAAATAAACTGGTATAGTAAATGTGAAGAGTCACAGGATATATTTTCTGTGAATTGTGAAATAAACTGGTGAAATAAACTATCACAATGCAAAGAGTCAAGATATATTTCTGTAAACTGTGAAATCAACTGGTATAACAATGTGAAGAGCCATAAGATATATTGTATATGAATTATGAAATCAACTGGTATAGCCATGTGAAAAGTTGTGAAATAAACTGGTATGGTAAATTTGAAGAACCACAGGATATATTTTCTGTGAACTGTGAAATAAACTGAAATCAACTGGTATAGTAATGTGAAGAGTCAACATATATTGTCTGTGAATTGTGAAATCTACTGGTATGGTAAATGTGAAGGGCCACATGATATATTTTCTGTGAATTGTGAAATAAACTGGTATATTAAATGTGAGAAGCCACAACTTGCTTCATGTGATCAAGTCTAACGTGTTACCCAACAGTTATAGCTGCGTCTTGTGGAGAGAACAATGACGTTAGTTTTCTTCAAAAACCACTGGATCTAGCCGCACCAGGAAAGAGTGATACAACTCAGTTAGTAAAGCTACAGCCTCTGTCACAGTGGTACTGAGTGAGATGGTAGGGGGTGACACACAAAACATTACAACTTTGAGACAAGTATGAAAGTCTGGTTATATGAAAACCTGAACCTTGGCAAAATCCACAACAAAATAAATTAATTATTTTAAATGTGTGTATGGATATTTAAGAGCTATAAAGATGCATAGCTATACTTTATTTATGTGATTATGACATACTACAGTTTTCACTGTTGCCTTTCAATCTATCTTAGAAATAATGAAAAAATGAAACAAAATAAAAACTCTAACTAGAAATGTATCAAGTAAAATATCCTCAACAAAACAAATAATTTACAAGAATTTCTACAAGAGCTGGTTTCCATCTAAAGCTATCCTTTAGGACCTGATTGAAAAATTACCAGATATCAATTAATAATATGATTAAAACAATTTTTAAATTAAAAATTATATATTTTTCATACTTAGCAAGTTTAGTATGTAAAATTAACATTCATTTTAATAATTTATTCAAATAAATGTGTTTTGCCAAAGTAATTCAGATTTGTCATTTTTCAAAACAATTAGTCCCAATGAAGATTGTATAAACATTAATTCATAAAAGAGGTAATAATTTGATTGCATGATTTAGGTACAGCAATGCATGCTCCCCATGCAAGAAACATGGACATGATAAGGTGTATCTTTTGTCCTAAACTTGTTTCAGATTCTGTAATGAATTTATCCACAAGAAACTATTCTTAAAACTTAATATCATCTATTCTTTTTTATTTCCCAATGTAGTTCCCAAGACACATGGGGCAGGTGAAGTAGAGTTAGTCTGCTTCAGAGACCTTGGCATATGAAGGGATAGCGTGGTCAGCACTATGCCCAGCCGCCTTTGTTTCCCTAATATGAGTTAGGTACCCATCAGAGCTGGGTGGACTCAGGGATGTTCCATTTATTCGACCCCGGGTTTTGAACTCGAGACTCTCAGGTTAGCAGTCCAGGTCTCTACCGCTTGGCCATGAAATTCTTGAGTTTAAATCCCAGTGCAAGTCAATAGAACGTTCCACCCAGCTCTGATGGGTAACTAACGCAAGGGAAAGTAAAAACGGCTGGGCGTAGTGCTGACAACATTATCCCTTTGTATGCAGAGGTCACAGAAACAAGTGAACTCTATTTCACTAGGCCCATGTACCGTCAGGTTTGAAAAGGGAACTTTACTGATACTATCCCTTATTCACTTGTAATACTACATAATAGAAGAGCCAACTAGCAATTTTGTAATCAAGTTAGTCACCCAAAAAATTAATAAGCACCACACTCTTTAACACACCCACGTCTACTGACTACATTCATTATTATAACAATTAGCATGCCATACTCTAGGTAAGAAAATAAAGAAAACCACTCCAAGTAAAGTAATCCAAGAAGATTCATGTGAATTCCATGAGAAAAGAATTTCCCTACAGACAAAAGATGAAGAAGGGTAAAGATTTTCTGTTTACCTGTTCTTTATACTCGTCGACCAGTTTCTCATATTGTTTAATTGTTCCGCGCAACTGCTGGATGTCTTCATCGGATTGTCGCAGTTTGGTCTCCAAGATATTCACAGAATTCTAGACATCATCGACAATGAATGATGGACAGGACACAAGAATTAGGATAAACAGGCATGTTGCACAATAAAAAAAAAGTCGAGTTTTTTTAAATTGAATTTGTACCAAGATAAGGAAAGAAAATAATTGTTAATAAAAATACAGTTAAATTATAGGCAATCCAATACTTTTCAAGCAAAAAAAAAAATAAATAAAAATAAATGTATCTCAAAAATGCATAAAATCAAGCTAATTTTTCAATGCGAAAAGCAATATATTGATAAGTATCGAAATATAGATATTAAAAAAGTAGTGATAATTTTTCTTTAGTACTTTATCACACATGGGGAAGGGGGGGGGGGGGGGGGGGGTTGTGGTATACAAGCAGGCAATCAATCAAATCAGTTTCAAACATGCTGGGTTAGTTTGTAAATATCCACATCAACAGTTAGAAAGGAAAAGTTTCATTCACAAACTTCAAAAGTTAATAATTTTTTTGGTCAGTTAACTGCCCTTCACAATAAGCCTAATTAAAAACAGTTTTAAAAAAATAGCTCAAAACCAAACGAAAAGTTTTTAAAAGGTATATAAAAACTATATATTTTTATATATTAATGGGACCTTTTATTTTTTCGAGGACTTAAGTGAAAAACAAACCTCAATATTTGAAATTTTATTTTCAAATTATTCACTTTTTTTGTGGGAAAAGCCTACCTTTATTCGTTCATTTTCAAGTCTAAGATTTGTGTTCTCTGTTATCTTGTCATGAAGTCTAGTGGTCAAGGATTCATTCTGTGACTTGGCTGTGTCTTCAATTCTCTCTATCAATGATTCCAACTCAGCAATTTTCCTAAAGACAAAAAAAAAATCTTTACATTTATTTACAGCTAACATAAGAATTACTCATCTCAAATTTAATCTAAAGTCCTTATAAAACAAAATTACTAGCATGATTAAATAGTTTATATAATAAATAGTTTACTATTTTATTAAAAAATAAAGAATTAGTAAACAGTACTTAAAATAAAAATTACTGAATACATGGCGATAGTTTTCTAGGCAAACTGTGTTCTTGCATTACAAAGGGGTAAACAGTAAGGAGATATTGCTATTATATTTTTGTATTTGATAATATAATTTAAGACAGTGTGGCCTAGTGGTAGAGCACTAGACTGCTAACCCGAAAGTCTCGAGTTCAAATTTGGATTCAAGTCAGTGTTATGTCCCTGTCCACTTAGCTCCGATAGGTACCTAACTCAAGTTAGGGAAAATAAAGGTGGCTGGGCATAGGGCTGATCACACTATCCTTTCGTATTCTGAGGTCATTGAAACAGATTAACTCTACTTCATCTGCCTCATGTGTCTTGGACAAGAGGATGATGAATGTCACTGAAGGTACAGTTGTGTATTGGGAAGTATAAGAGATGTAAGGAATCAACAAATAGATCATTAACAGCATCCTCAATGTACTTGCTTTCCACAGAACGACCATTCTATAGTGCTTTAAACAAGGCACTGCTCGAGTAATATTTTTAATAAGGATTTGTTTAACATAAATTATTTGTTTTACTGATATATGCAAGGCACTGCTGAAGTTATATTTTCAAGGATTTCTTTAACATAAATTATTTGTAACTGTCCATAACAACAGAATTCACTTGTGAGGTTAGTTATAAACAAATTTACAGTATTTTGCTGTAAGAAATATAGGTAATTTTTGTAAATTTTTAAAATGTTATTTTAAGCCAGTTGTATTTTTTATTAAATGACAACAAGAAAAGTCAAGTACTCTGTTGCCTATTTATATTATTATTAAACAGAATCACTTGGTAATCAATGAGAGAAAACATCTCTAATTTAAAAAACACAACATGCAGTGATGTTAAATGTACCAGTAAAATGTTCCAGTTTGCAGTGCAAAAACAGTTTAGTAGCCAATGATAAACAATAAAAGCAAAGCCAAAGTAGTACATAAAAAAAAGTTCCTACTGAACAGTTAAATAAATGCAAAAAGAAAAATATAAAGAATAATTACTTTGAAAACAATCTATAACATTAATCTTGAAATAAAATTGTATTTTTAAAAAAACTAAAAAAGGGGGATAACTCCACTCACGCCCTATACTGCTCACAATCTTTGCTGAGAGATTCCTTCTCCCTGGCCAGACTCTCAAACCTGGCGTGGGTGGATGACAACCTGGCTGTTTGCTCAGACCCTTGGCACTGCAGGTCAGTCAGCTGTTTAGTCAGTCGACTCACCTCCTCCTCCAGTCTCTCGGCCCTGACCTTTTGTGCCCTGGATGTGTGGCCAGGGGTGAGAGGAAAACAGAAACTGAGCGTACACGTACACACTGGTGCCAGGTAGGTATTTAAAGATGTGGGATTTCTAAAGGCATTGTAAGTTTTCAAAACCTGGTCTAAAATTGTCCATATCTCATTTCAAGTACTATAATTAGAGACAAGTATTTATTAAAAGATGTGAAATTTCAAACAGCATTGTAAGTTTTCAAAACCTGGTCTAAAATTGTCCATATCTCATTTCAAGTACTATAATTATAGACAAGTATTTATTAAAAGATGTGAAATTTCAAACAGCTTTATAAGTTTTCAAAACCTGGTCTAAGATTGTTAGTACCTCATTCACCTTTTTTGACATCTAACAAGTACTATGATTAGAGAAATTAATGGGAAAATTTGACTTCATTTATTAAAACTGCTGTAAAAAATTGACCAGATTTTTAATTAACAAACCTGACCATTTGTTGTTAAAAAGTATAAATTTTATTAACATTAAACACAAAAATATTTTAACTATTACGTTTATTCAAAGCAATAGAAAAAAAATCAATATTTAGCAATGTATGACCATTAATAAAGCAGTAGCACTTAAGTTATCAAAAATTACTTCTTTTAAAAATAGAAAAAAAATTAGAATCATTTTGAAAACTTTTTTTGCAACAAGTTTTTTAAAGCAAAAATATAATAATTGATAACTAAAATATTTGTACTACAACTGAATAATTACTATGATATGTAGACCTACACCATCAAATTTTAAGCCAAAACAACCAAACTAAAAGATTACTAAGCTGGATATATAAAAAGCAAAATAAATACACAATGATTACCATTTGTCATGCCTTTAATATCAATTTTAATTTTTAAAGTTTAATTCTCAGGAATGAATAACCACTTTTTTTGAGGTGTAAAATTAGTACTTTCAGTGAAATCAACCTGTTTATTATTTTGGTCTCAAAATGGCATGACAAACAGGCAAATAGAATAATTCTGGGTGAAAAACATTTAGTAAATTAAAAACATTTACCTGGCAGCTTTTTTAAGTGCATCTTTGTCACGGTCTGTCCTGTCTTTGGAGGAGCCCACAATTTCCTGCAGTCTTTCCCTCTCTAGCTTCTCTTCTGCTAAATGACCCTCCAAGCTCTGAAACACAATTACTGTGTGGTTAAACTAAGAACCAAAATATTTCTACCTACAAGAAAATTATCTACCACAATCATAAGACTTAAGGCACAGTTACTGAGCAGTTATACTAAACCCTGAATGCGTAGAAGAGCAAGAATATTATCTACCACAATCAAAAGGCACAGTTACAAAGTGGTTATACTAAGAACCAAAATGAGTACTTGAGCAACAATAATTATCAGTCAGCTGGGTCTTAAGTAAACACTACAGTAGGTGTTGTGTTAACAGTTGCCATGTATTATGTCACTAAACTACATCAAGAGTCTTACTTATTTAATTACTTATACATAGTCCTGAATTTTTCAAAATGAATATTATTTAAGTCAAATGTGTTAAAAAAATTATATTTCATGGCATGTGAATCAGGTATTAAATAAGAAGGCAGATAATAAAACCTAATGGTTATTAATACATACATTTAAAAAAAATATGTAGATTATTTAACGCAAGAAAAAGAGTACAAAAATAATAAACAGCCACCTACACGTATTTGGACAGCCATCCTATTACAATCAGCTTCCTTTGTCCGCAACTGTTTCTGTAAATGGCCCCTTGTGTTCTCTAGGGAACCTTGCAAGTTACTCAGTGCCATTCTCTCTTCCTGTAACAGTGGTGGAATTGTTTGTTTACACACTTATATGGCAGTATAAAATCTAAACTACACACAATTAGATAGCAGTATAAAATCTAAACTACACAGACTTAGATAGCAGTACAAAATCTATACTGCACACATTTATATGGCAGTATAAAATCTAAACTGCACACAATTAGACAACAGTATCAAATCTAAACTACACATTTTTAGATAGCAGTATCAAATTTAAATTGCACACAATTAGATAGCAGTATAAAATCTACATACAAACTAAGCTAGGACAAGATTTTAAGATGGATCTATTTACCTTCTCAGCACGGAGCTGGTTGCGGAGTTCTGTGATCAAAGTTTCACAGTCCAGTAGCTGGTTCCTCATTCTCTGTGGAAAAATTAATGACAGTACAGATTAACACAAAAGTAACAGTAGATAATATTGGCTTTTTAAAGAAGGCCTAAGCTAAGTACAAAACACAATTTATTCCAAACTTTTCTTTCTCTAACGTGAGTCAGGTACCCATCAGAGCTGGGTGGACTCAGGGATGTTCTGCTGACTTATCCCTAGATTCCAACTCATAACTTTCGGTTTAGAAGTCTAGTGCTCTGCCACTAGGCTACGCCGTCCTATAGACATATCATAACTAAGCACTAAAATCAGCATGAGAAAAAATTTACTCACCTCATTAGATATAACATAACTGAGCACTAAAATACAATAAAGAAAAGTCTTACTTACCTCATTAGAAATATCCGAATCTGCCAGTTTTCTCATCAAAACATCCCTCTGTTCACTCAGCCGTAGCCCCGAGGCCTCCAGCCGGTGCTGGTCACGCAAGAGATGTCGCAGCGTGCGGTTGGTCGCCTCAAAGTCTGCCATAGTTTCCAGGAACAATTCTTTCTGCTTGGCCAGACGGGCCTGGTCAGCAGTGCTCATCTGGAAGTCATCCTTCAGACGCCTGATCAAATCTTTAAGCTCACGCACCTGGTGAGATGATTAACTCATTAATTAAACAGGTGAAGTATGAAGTAATTTGAAATTTAGTCATTAATTAGATAGGTGCAATATGATGTAGTTTAAGAAGATTTATTCATTAATTAAATATATGCCATATGAAGTTATTTAAGAAGATATATTCAATAATTAAATATATAATTAAATATATGCCACAAGAGGTAATTTTAGAATATTTATTCATTAAATATGATTCATAAGGAGTATGTTGAGAAGATTAATTTTGCACATAAGCCCCCCCCCCCCCCCCACACACACACACAAACACACCAAACAAACACTTCTACATTAATGGTAGTTGTCATGAAAAGAATTATTCCACATAATGAGAAACTAGCTACAGTATACACAGTATATGTAGTATCATGTGAGCCTTTATGTTGTATCTTATGGACCCTTGTGGTTTATCCTGTGGGCCCTTATGTGTATCCTGTGGGCCCTTAAGCTGTATCCTGTGGCCCCTTATACAATGTCATTTGGGCCCTTATGTTGTATCTTGTGGGCCCTTTATTATGTGGACTCAAAAGGTTTATCCTGTGGGCCGTAATGTTGCATACTATGGGCCCTTACACTGTACCCTATGGACCCTTAAGGTATACCCTATGAACCCTAATGTTGACCAGTGAAACATAACATTAGGAAGAAACCTTCACCCACCTGCTGTGATGCAGCCTGCCCATCCATCTCAGCTTCTATCAGTTTCTTCATTAGTTTCTCTCTGTCATAGTTCAGCAAGTCTTTCTGGCTTCTGAAAAAAACAAAATGTTAAAAATTAAAGTGTATTAATTCAATTTTTTAAATAAATATTGATCACCCATTAGGTGTTGGTTAAGCATAAAAAAGCATTTAATGTTTTAAAACAAATGTTTTCTGGACTTTTTAAACAGGAAAAGTAGAATAAATTAATTTTACATTAAAATTGTTTTACTTCTGTTTGTTGTTTCAAACTGAGATTGCATGAAATGGAAATCACATGATCTAAATATTTGCAAAAATATAATGTTTTTACAATTTAAATCTATATATATAATTCTCTTCTTCGAGCCGTTAGAAAACAAGCTGCAAACGCTCTCCCTACCTCCCCACCCCTACATGGTTTTAGTGAGCTGTGTTCACTCTAAATGTTTACAAGCAGAGCCAACGATTTTAAACGTAGGGGGGGGGGGGGGGGGAAGGAAGGGGGGGGGGGGGGTTATGGTCCTTAACGAGCTACTTATAGTGTTTTAAAGAAATATTTTCAGTGTCAGCGTTGGTACTGTCGAATTCACAAATTATGAATTATTGAAAATTAGAAACAACTAAATAGCGGCGTATGTTATGCCGCGGGCCGGCTCGTTATTCTATAATGTTTGACCCGTAGTGTTGCAAAGCAATGTAAAAAATAGCATTAATAATTTCATAAACAAGAAATAAAAGAAACAAATATGATAATCTTAACAAGGGAATGAAAGGTTTTGATTTTTTAAATTTCTTTTTAAATTAATTAGTTAATAATGTTTGTTATTTCAAGCAGCTCAAATTTCTAAATGTTGCATTGCTATTGAGCTATTAGGATAATAATACAGCATGAATGATGAATGAACATTGTAGAAAATAAACCGGGAGTGATCTCCCCTAAACTTTCTCGAATATTCTTATATAAAATAACAGGGGATGGAAACTCGGGCTATAGACATGATTTTTAATCCATTTTAAATACTTAAAGTTTTAAAAATAGAATAAAATCTCGTAGACAAATTAATTGCACACCAAGTGAACGCAAATAAAAAAAGCGCATAATAGTGCGCAATATTATTAGTACTTTTAAAATTTACATTAGTTTTTTGAGAAATCGGAAGTAGCGTAAATTACTACTTCCAGTCAACGGAAATTACTCAAAATTTAACAGAAGGTAGAGAATTAGATCTTTTACTTGCATGTGAAATTTCATTTATCTATCTGAAATAGTACTCAAGTTATAGGCTTTTAAAAAATTCAAAGTAGGAAAAGTACAACTTCCGGTTATCGGAAATCGCTCAAAAGTTGATACGGATCTACGATTTTGATAAAATACTTATATATGAAATTTCATCAACCTAGCTGTAACGGTACTCAAGTTATCGTGTTTACACACGGACAGACACACACACAGACATACGGACAAGATTGCAAAATTATGTTTTTCCGTATCAGTGAGGTGTAAAACGTCGAGATTTGTAAAAATCTCGATTTTTTTTTTTGCACGATTACAATACTTTCTCTATACTACGTATATACGAGAAAGTAAAAATAAAAGACATAGTAAATAAACTCAAGGGAAGTAAATGTATAAAGGGAGCCAATTTTAAAAATAAATAAAAATTTGACTTAAAACAAACTCAAAAGCAAACCTTGATTCTGATAAAGCTATAGAGCTCTTCACATCTGTGCTGAAAGTTTAATAATTGCTCATCACTCAATCATAATAAAATGTTACAAATATTGTGATGTGAGATAAACCACATTTCACTGCTCTATGGTGAGTATAAAAAACTAGATGGGGGTCTAGATTAACACAACTTTTCTCTTAGTGTCATGGTCATACAATTTAACAATCAACATCTAGACTTAACATCATATTAGTTACATTTATCCAATTTTATGCTGATGTACACTTCAATGTTTTGAAAAGCAAGTACAATTGAAGACTAAGTTTCTAGTGTGAATATTAGAATATATACTAAACCAATGCAAATAGTAAAAAAACTTCAATATGAAAAAACTAAGAACTATAACTGAATGCATGCAAAAATGAGACAAAATATTGAATACAACTTTTAAAAATGTACAGGTAAAATTAAATGTATTATCTGGGCTCACCTGGATCCCCCCTTTGAATAACTACTAGAGCTAGCTTTACTAGCTAGCTGACATACACTGTAGTTGTGGTGAGAAACAAATATTTCAAGAATATGTTTTATTTTATAAAATAGATGAAGTTAACACCAGTAATATTGTATAAAATGATTTGAAAATAATATAAATATGATTCATGTTATGAAGAATTTACGAAATTTAAGTTAATAAATGTTAACTAAAAGGTACTACCTACAAAAACAGGTAAATCTACTTTAAGAATTTTTAAACTTGATTTTCATTTTATAAAAAACATTTTTAAAAACAATTAATATCTTAAAAGCTTATTTTTAAACAGTAAAGTCATTAACTGTAGTGGGTGTGGTGATCCAAGCCAAGGAGCACAATTTTCAGAAGACTAGATTTTTTAAAGATAATTTCCACCTCTGACATAACAGAAATAATAAACTTCTTCTTCCTCGTTCTTAATTTTTAGTGTTGGGAGGGATCGAGCCTTATCTGCCAGAGGGTTTGAACTCATATTGCTAGCTGACTTCGCAAGAGCATTCTAAAGTACAATCATTTCTTTTATTATAGGATACATAAAGCATTTCAGTTACAGGAATAAAATGTTGTGGATATTTTGAAATATGCAGTCCTTCTTCTCTTCTTCTTCATTCTTAATTTTTGAGTGTTGGGAGGGATAGAGCCTTATCTGCCAGAGGTTTAAACTCGAGACTTTTTTCGAATTTATCAACCATGAGCTTTGCCGACTCGACCATGCTTCCATCAAAATTAAGGATTACGTGTAAACTGGTTTTGCGCCATTGAGGCCATTGACTCCGATTTCAGCCTGCTTTTCTTTTTGGATTTGCTTCCATAGCCTTTGTCCAACCAAGAACAAACTACAAGGCAGCAGTTGTTTGATTTTGGAGTTGTCTCTCCTAGATGAGTGGCTGTCCCCAGCTAACGAGCCTCATCTGCCCGAGGGTTCGAACTCGAGACTTTTCGGTTTAGCAACCATGAGCTTTACCGACTCGACCACGCCGACCCCTAAATAATAAACATTTTATACAGAATTTTTTAGTCTTGTCCCACAAAATGAGAAGATTTGGGAGATTTTAATTTGACTGTAATATTTATAAAGTTTTTTTGCTGTTATTTTAATAACCTTGTGCATGTCAATATTACATTAATTTTAACCACAGCTATAGGAATATAAAAAATTGTTAGAGAAATGGAATTTAAATCATAAAAATAAGCAATACAGTAAGTGAACAGCTTGTTTGTTCAAATCAAATTTAGAAGAAAAGACTTAAAATAAATTCACATTTTCATTTATTTTTTAAAATAAACCAAAAATTTAACAACAAATCTCTGCAGTTTAATTCTGCAGTAAACACATGAAATAACTTTATTTGAATGAAATGATAAACGTTCAAAAAACAAAATGACCTTGAACTCCATGAACTAGTATCTATGTCCTCATGGGTTTCATTTATTTCTTGGTTATCTTCAGGTCTGTAGACATCATATTATTACAGCACATCCAACAGTAAAGATTAAATTGCTTGCTAAAGAACTAGATAGGTTTTATTTTAGACTGCTGGTAGCTGCTTGGCTTTCATCTTACTTTGTTTAAATCTTTCATAAAATTTGCACAAAATGGTCTAACTTTAATTTTTTTTACTATTTTTTTTTTTTATATGTTAAAGGATCTCCCACTCAAAGCGTTGTATCAAAATAACTTCAAGTAATTAGTTTATTAAGATTTATCTTTTTGTTTGAAAAAAAAAACCAATGAAGTATTCCTGCTTTATAAAAAGTGTCAAAATAAAATTTAAACTTTCATTGTGGTTGCGTACTATGCTTCAAAATCTCAAATAAAAGCAATTAGCTGTGTAGGCAATTGACTCCGATTTCAGACTGCTTTTCTTTTTGGTTTTGCTCCAATAACCTTTGTCCAACAAAGAACAAACTACAAAGCAGCTGTTGTTTTATTTTATAGTTGTCTCGCCTAGATGGGTTGCCGGCTCCAGCTATCGAGCGTCATCCATCCGAGGGTTCAAACTCGAGACTTTTTGCTTTACCTACTCAACCATGCTAACCCTAAAAATAAGATTATATTTGAAAAAAAAAACTTACTTAGTTATCTCCACCTCTTCTGATATAAGGTGCATGTTCTGCCTGAGAAGTTTGTTTTCAGTTTCTGTAGCGGCCAGCTCTTCTTCAACATGTTCCAGCTCTGCTTCCTGGCGCTCCAGGATCCTAGAGGATGTGTTCAGGAGGTCATCTTTGTGTTCTATTTCTTTCAGAGCTTTTTGTAGGACAACCTGTGGAAGATTGAATTTAATTTTTGAATAGTTGTTTCTAAACTCTAAAACTTAAAGATTTAGTCTTGTAGCTAAAGCTTTGGTTTAAATAAATCAAGTATTTCAAAATACAGAAATTTAAGAACATAAAGAGTAAGCTATTTTATCTTGTACTGACTATCAATTGTAAAAAAAAACTATTTAATTTTTTTTTTACTTAATTAACTTGAGAAAAAATGTATTAAAGAAATGCATCTCAAAAAAATTATTTAATTAATTAAATAGAACCTAAAAAAGCAAAAATTGTAAAAGAAATGTAACCAACAAGTTATAATTTAAATGTAAATTAAACAACCAATCTCATCTTACAAGTTTTAATTCATGAGCAACACAGTGTAGTCTACAAGTTTCTTTCATGCTATACTGCTTGGAGAAGTTATTTACCATCAACAGAAACAACTCATGATAAAGTAAAGTATAAAAAAAAAGTTCTGGCTCATATTCAGCACAAGGTTTAAAGACAAATGATCAATTTTTAAAGTATCATGTCAACAGTAAAAAAAAAGTAGACGATATAAACACAGATAATTTTTAAAGTGCAGTCAAGAGTAAAACAAAATAGATAGTAAATAATACCTCTTTTTCAAAGTATTATCAATAGGAAAAGAAAATAAATTATATGTAGACAAACCTATTTGTTTAGATTTCAAAATATAATAGAATAATTAAGATGATAGGGGTCGGCGTGGTCGAGTCGGTAAAGCTCATGGTTGCTAGACCAAAAAGTCTCGAGTTCGAACCCTCGGGCAGATGAGGCTCGTTAGCTGGGGACAGCCACTCTTCTAGGAGAGACAACTCCAAAATCAAACAACTGCTGCCTTGGAGGTTGTTCTTGGTTGGACAAAGGCTATGGAAGCAAATCCAAAAAGAAAAGCAGGCTGAAATCGGAGTCAATGGCCTCAATGGCGCATAACCAGTTGACACGTAAGTCCTTAATTGTGATGGTAGCATGGTCGAGTCGGCAAAGCTCATGGTTGATAAATTCGAAAAAAAAAAAGGCTCGAGTTAAAACCCTCTGGCAGATAAGGCTTGATCCCTTCCAACACTAAAAATTAAGAACGAAGAAGAAGAAGATTTAGATGATATAAAATTGCATGTTTTTTTTAATCAATACAAGAAAACTGATTATTTGGACCCATCTCACAGAACTCATTTTTAGAGTATTATTGTCAATAGGAAAAGAAAATAGATAATATAATCACATCTATTTTTAGATAGCAGTCTAGAGTATAAGATAACATGATATAAACATACCTCATTTTTGAGACTGCCAACCTCATTGAGTAAGTTATTGATCTTTTTCTCGTATTTCCTGACTTCATGTCCTGCCCTCTCCTCGTCATCAGTTGATAAATCACTGCTGCGTAAATGGTTTACCTCCAGCTTTGAGCCTGCTCCCTAAAGTATTAAAATATTTTTAAAAAGTATTAAAAACATTTTAAAAATTGAAGTTTTCATTCATTGTCTTTTCCTGTTCATGCCCAAGAGACATGGGTCAGATGAAGTGGTTTTCATCTGTTTCAATAACCTTAGCCTACTACCTGTGTGGTAAGCACTATGCCCAGCTGCTTTACTTTTTCTAATGCCAGTAGATTTCATCTGTTTCAATGACTGTGACAGAAAAGGGGATAGTGTGGTAAGCACTATACCCAGCTATTTTAGTTTTTCTGATGCCTAGTCAAGTACCCAACAGCGCTTTGAGGACATCTGAATGTCCTACCTACTTGAGCCCAGAATCCAAAACTTAAGACATTTGGGCTAGCAGGCATAAGCTCTACCATCCGACCATGTCATCACTGCTATAACCTAAAATTATTATCCGGAAAAGGAATGCAGCCCATTGTTACAGAACCTTTCTGTATGAATGAACAAAGGGAAATTAATATTGTATTTGAAGTTGAAAATAATTTCCTAAATGTTAACCATCAACTAAGCACACACAAAAAAATATGTTCGCATGTTTGCAGAACAACACTACTCAAATCTATTGAATAAGTTTGGCCAAACTTCCTAAAACTGAATGATTGTAGCAAAATAATATTCTTATAGCAAAATTCATCTACAATATCATTACAACACATGGTTGTACCACAAAACTTGTTACAGATGGTGGTTTACGCTAAATTTTCCTGCAAAAGGTTGATTACGTATTTCATGAGAAGGTACATCTAACTGGAAAAGAAAGTATGTGGAATAGTATGGTCAGACAGTAGAGTGCATGGCTGCTGACCTGAATGTCTCAAGTTCAGATCTTGAACTTAAATCCGTAGCATGCCTCTAAGTCCACAAGCCCTGATGGTTATCTTAAGTTATGGATAGTAAATCATCTAGCCATAGAACAGACTACATCATCCCTTAATAGGTCATGGTTACAGAAATAGATTAGCTTCACCAGGCCTATGGACAACAGGCCCAAAATAATTACTTTACTCTCTACTTTATCAAAGACCAAAATAATTACTTTACTCTCTACTTTATCAAAGACCAAAAGAATTACTTTACTCTCTACTTTATCAAAGACCAAAAGAATTACTTTACTCTCTACTTTATCAAAGACCAAAAGAATTACTTTACTCTCTACTTTATCAAAGACCAAAAGAATTACTTTACTCTCTACTTTATCAAAGACCAAAAGAATTACTTTACTTTATACTTTATCACAGGCTAACTCTCACCTGCCATGTGACCCTGCCTCCTCGTGTGGCTTTACCTGGTGCAGGCACCCAGGGTCCAGTTTTGGAGGGGGGGCTCATACTCCTCGCTCGGGCTCTGGACGCAGCTGTTGATTTCTGAAGTCTCATATTGCTAGCAGACTTCGCAAGAGCATTCTAAAGTACAATCATTTCTTTTATTATAGGATACATAAAGCATTTCAATTACAGGAAAAAAATGTGTATATTTTGAAATATGCATTCCTTCTTCTCTTCTTCTTCGTTCTTAATTTTTAGTGTTGGGAGGGATCGAGCATTATCTGCCAGAGGGTTTAAACTCGAGACTTTTTTCGAATTTATCAACCATGAGCTTTGCCGACTCGACTATGCTTCCATCACAATTAAGGATTACGTGTCAACTGGTTATGCGCCATTGAGGCCATTGACTCCGATTTCAGCCTGCTTTTCTTTTTGGATTTGCTTCCATAGCCTTTGTCCAACCAAGAACAAACTACAAGGCAGAAGTTGTTTGATTTTGGAGTTATCTCTCCTAGAAGAGTGGCTGTCCCCAGCTAACGAGCCTCATCTGCCCGAGGGTTTGAACTCAAGCATTTTGGTTTAGCTACCATGAGCTTTACCAACTTGACCACGCCGACCTCTAATATGCAGTCCAAGTATATAGTAAAAATCAAAAATATATTGATACCATTATTTATTAAGAAGTATGCTGTTAATAATAACCATATCTTACAATACATTATTCGTGTCATTATATTACATTTGCTTTAGTTAATTTTGAAAACAGTAAAAAATAGCAAATTCAGTGTCCACCTTTTTCTTTCCTTTCTTCACATGAACATGTACAGGTGTATCATCCACATGAACATGAATAGGAGAAGTAGGGTGAAGCCCTTTTTCCTTCGTCATTTTTTTATTACGTCCTGTAAATATGTTTCAGAAAAAAAAATTTTTAGAACAACTTTGATGTGTTTTTTTTAGTCTTAATCAAAAGAAGGATTATTAGTAACTGAGCCAAGAAAATAATTGGTGTTCAGAATTAAAATTTATAATATAAACCATTGCAATAATAAAGCAAAGTACAAAAAGTAAAAATAAAATAAGTAAGGACTTAAAAAAAAAGTCTCAATATTAAAGTTAAAGCCTGGGCACTCAATAATGAAAACTGAATATAGTTGTTATCTTATGGGAAGTAAACCTATGAAATGAGCTCCCTATAAAAGGGAATATATTCTCAAAAAGTGAGCACCCAGGCTATTATTTTTAGTCATACCAGCATATAGTTTTAGTAATGCTATACCAAACTAAATTTATCTTAAACTTTTTAGTGAATTTTTTTCATTTGTGATTATTTTTTAGTGATTTGTGAATATAATAAAAGCCTATTTGTGAGATTTATTTTTCAAATGTACCTACCAGCGTTCAAGAAAAATCATTGTCTTTTAAAAATTGATTTTTAGTAACAATAACCCCATTTTACAGTTTTCCTTCTTTAAATATATTTTATTTACTGGGCAAACATATGATACTTTATATTACATAACAATGACAAAAGATTAGTAAACCTAGAAAATTACAGTCTGAAAATCTACTTCAAAAATTATATAAATTTTTGAAGTAGATTTTCAGACTGTAATTTTCCAGTTTCTCTTGATTTGTAATAGCCATTAGCCATGATTAGCCTAAGTGCATTACTGATTGTTTTAAAACTTGGTAATCTATCGTTTTGGGTACGTAAAATCGCCCGCGACTAGTAATGTGAAAAACAGGTGACTCCTTACATTTTAATAATTATTTCACATTTTGAGGAGGATTTATGTTTTAAAAATACAAAAATGTTTCCTTGTTTCATTTATGTACCTGTTTTTAAACAATTGAATTAAAACGTTTCAGTAATAAATGAAGACTAGCGATGTTTCCAACAGATGCAACCATGCTCATTTACTATAGCAGCCATCTTGTTAAAGTTTTATTTTTATAGACTTAACGCGCAAGATTCAGGCGGAAGTCACTCTATTTTACAAATGGCTGCTGTTTATATAGCAAACCTTGCTTGTAGACACTGCTGTTTAAAGTTAATTTCTGGCCTATATTGATATATTTAGCCATTGATTTAGGTTTATTATTCATTTATCTAGTTTTATTTGACACAAACATATCACAATATACTTCTATTACAGCCTTGACAATGAGGTAACGTTTTCGTACATTAATAGCCGCGGGCGATTTTACGTACCCAAAACGATAGATTAACTAAAACTTTGGCTCATTATTTCAGTCATGATGTGAATTTAGTGGGCCTTTAACAACAATGAATATAGGGCAATAAAGTAGTCTGGCGCATTGCTTAGATGGCAGGATTGACCTCTGACCCTGAAACGTCACGCATCGTTTTCTGACAGTTTTTCCGTTTATTTTAGGGGTCCCATCCACGACAAATGAAAAAACTGTTTATATCGCAAATTCTCATCATTATTTTAATGCAAATTGCTAATAAAATGGATAATATGCCTTAGAATGCCAGAAAAAATCGCAAGATTCGTGGTTGTAAATAATGAGAGGATTTCTAGTGGAGCACTCTCCGTAAAAACTGAACCGCCGCCAAAAACGACCGACTAACGGGGAAAACGGCTCGACTAACTGTACATTAATATATAATTGATATATTTATCATGTATATTTACAGTATTTTTGATTACTTTTTCTAAAATCTTCCTCGAGGATGAGGTACCCACGCTGACATTTCTATCCGCTATTTACGTATCATGACGTCATTGTTACGCTAGTTGCCAGACTGAAACAACTAGTTTTTGTTTTTTACGGAATGAACTGTTAAGTCTAGTATTTTAATTATAAATCAATTGTAGCATGTGTGGAAAAAGTAAAATTATAGACATTATTATTGTATTAGTAATTTTATTAGTATATTGATTTTTTCTTCACTGTGGGCCGACCGTTGCTGCATTCGTGACCGGTGGTTGACCTCGTCAACGCCGCGTGGCCTATTCGTTTATATAATCAGTGTTGCTCGTTCAGTGGCCTTTTTCAGAGCTAGGCCTAATTACGGGCGATTTTTAGACTTAATTGATTGGCCGTTAGCCTTTTTCATTGCTGCGTATTGTAAAAAATGCTCGTTCAGCGGCCTTTTTTTTGGCGCTAAATAATCTGTTTACGGGCATTTTAAGCGTTTATTTATTTATTTTTTTTAAGCTAGACGTAGATCTAGTTTAAAAAATATTTTTTTTTTATACAGCTGGCTGTCTAGCATGCCTGATATCCGAACTTAAAAAAAAAAATGACCGAACTAAAAAAAATGACCAGAAGTAGGGAAGTAGGTCTCTTTTTCAATTTGCTTGAAGAAGAGGGGGGGGGGGGGAGAGAGAGAGAAGTGAAGACACCGACCATCTCGTGTACGCGTGTTCATTCTATGACGTGTACTGTAGGCCTGCTGAAGTCACGGTGACCCCGCGACCGTGGTGGGATTTTTCATCCACAGGATAGTAAACATAAGCAAGCAATCACGCGAGTGACGATGTTTGGAGATTTTATTTTTAAAAAAATCACATACGTCATGTTTTCAAGATGAAAAAAATGTAATGTAAAAAAAAAAAAAGACACTAATACCATGTATGAACCTCAGCTGCCACACTGTTGACTCAATATAATGTGATTGAGTGTAAAATGTATTTGCATTTATAAACTATCTTAACTATTACTATCATATTATTTTATGCATATTTATTATTTAAAATTAGAATTTGAAATAAAAATATTTATTATGGTCGTTTGATTTATGTAGGTGTTCATTATTTCTTAAAATGGTATGAATAAAATGTAGAGTAGAATTTAATAAATAATAAAATAACTAGATATAGTTTTATTATCAACCAGTTGCTTTTTGTTATTTTCCGGTGAGTAAATGACCTAAGCTGACGCAATTACCATGGCGGGAATTAAAAGCTCGTGCACACAAGTTCACGGCGTCATGTTATGCCGGTCCAGGAGCAAGATTCTTGTTTTGTCATTCATTTTCCATTCTAGCTAAATTTTCAAATTCTCTTTTTTCTCGTCAACCGAATAAGCTAGATATTTAAATGTGGTGTCAAATGTTCTCTTAAGGGGTAAGGAACTTAATGGTGTATTTGAAATAACAGAATATTTTATTTGAAAAAATCCATAATTCAACCTACAATAAAGGCCTACTGTTTAGCTAACTTGTAATGAATAGGCTATATTTTGCAATAAAATATGTTCAATAAGGAAAAAAATAATTTAATAAGACAATCTAAAATTAGGAAATAACAAAATTATTTAGGCCTATGCCTAAATTAAAATTATGGGCCTCTAACTAACAAGAGTAGGTGAGCAAGATCTCCTCAAGCTAGAGATTTAGGCCCGACCAACTGGCTTAGTTTAGTTTAAATGTCTGGCAGGTGTATAAAATTAATAATGGTTCTTAGATCTAGATAATTTTACACATCAGTACCGAATAATATCCACACAAAAACATTTAAAAAGCAAGATCTAACTTGCAGTTTCAGCGGGCGTGGAAGTTTTTCAGTTAAGGTATTCCTTTGAATTGGCTAGTGATGCCATCGTACAGTGATAACTGTTGTTTTATACAAGTAAAATAATAACACATGAGTACGTTTCATCAGCAAGTACCTCTAGAGAGCATTTAGCAGAATGCAATGATCTTTCATGTGCTAACTATTCATCGTTTTAATTCTCCACAGACGCCATTATCATAAACAACATTGCCAGATTATTGATGTTTACCACATAATCAATATTTTAAATAACATTGAGTGTTTGACTTGAATGCATACCAATTTAATTAAACAGTATAATATAACATTTTAATTCTAAAATAATTATTTGCTATAGCATTCTAATTAATAAAGACTTTTATGGTTATTGTTTTTTAATTTTAAATAGATTATTTAAAACTGTGTAGCTGCTTAGCTGGCAATGGTACTGAATGCTAAACAACGGGTTAAGTATTTATGCTGTAGTCTAGCAGTAATCTGTGGAGAAATGATAGAATGGAATTTATAATAATTTTAATAAATCGTCAGACCTCCGAAAGAGAGAGATGTGTGTTCTTGTGTGACTGTGTATGTCTGTTTGTGTATAGATCTATATGAGTTTGAAAAGAGACGAAAGACCATCAAGAAACAGATTATAAAGCATCAAAAGAAAAAAATCAACACCCGTGGCCCATGTTAATTTCCGAATTTCGCAAATATGTGATACCGGCTTATATACATAATTATTACATATATATAACATATATATATATATATAACATACATATATAATATATATATATATAAGACAAAGTTTATAACAATGACCAATGGGTAAATAATTTAAAAAATTAAACAAATAGGCCTATAAAGTATCTAGTTTTTTTAATCATCGTCATAAACCAAGTTACATTAATAATTTCTTTAAAAGTTACATAATTAGAATTAATCAAATTTGACAATTAATGTATATTAGATTGGTCATACTGTGCTAAAAGTCTAGAATGCTAAATATAAGAAAAATATTATTTGTAAGCAAACTGAAGAGTTTAAACATATTGTATTGCGATATAGATTCCTGAAAACTCTAGTATAAGATTCGAAGTAAATATCAAAATGTAGTAGCTAGAATTTTACTATAATAACAACATTAAATAGTAGCATCTAAGTGTCGAGTTAGATATGGTCTAGGGGAGTGATCAAGATCATGTGAAGCGGACTATTTCTTGTTTCATGACTGTACATTTCTGTTTTAGGCCACTGTGTCAATGAGTTATGTACTGTTATGCTATGGGTCACTGTGTCAATGACGTGTTTACAGTTATGCTTTGGGTCACTGTGTCAATGACGTGTACAGTTATACTTTGGGCCATTGTGTCAATGACATGTTTACTGTTATGCCATGGGTCACTGTGTCAATGACGTGCACAGTTATACTTTGGGCCATTGTGTCAATGACATGTTTACTTTTATGCCATGGGTCACTGTTTCAATGCCATGTTTACAGTTATGCTATGGGTCTATGTGACAATGACGTGTACAGTTATACTTTGGGCCACTGTGTCTATGACATATTTACAGTAATGCTTTGGGACACTGTGTCAATGACATGTTTACAGTTATGCTATGGGTCACTGTGTCAATGACGTGTACAGTTATACTTTGGGCCACTGTGTCAATGACATGTTTACTGTTAAGTTTTTGGCCACTGTGTCAATGACATGTTTACAGTTATGCTATGGGCCACTGTGTCAATGACATGTATACAGTTAAGTTTTGGGCCACTGTGTCAATTATGTGTGCAATTTTTCTTGTTACAGTTCAGTTAATATGGGTTGCAGGTTTTTATTCCAACACTCCGTCTGTTGGGGATCTGTATTCGGCCACCGTGTCACTTTCATATGTACAGTTAAGTTTTTGGCCAACATGTTAATCAGACGTAAATAGTTCTTTCATTGGCCACTGTGTTAATTAAGTGTAGGCCTACACAGTTCTGTTTTTGGCCACTGTTTTAATTAGGTGTGCACAAATCTTTGTCAGCTAATGACTGGGCGCTAGAATATTGGGTTCATATTCGTTTTTTTGGAATTTCCATTTATGGGTAGGTTGCTGTTTTTTTTTTTGCAGGTTGGCTTTCTTCTGCTTGTACTAATTGCTAGTTGGTATTGTCAATGAGGCTAGAAACTGAAGTGCTGTCGGGTTGCGGATGTTTGCTGATTCATTACTGGTTGGGCGAGTGACTTGCGGATAACTGCTGATTCTCGGTCGTGCGAGATGCTTGTCGGCTAGCAGACCAACTGGATAGCTGTTGACTAATTAGTTTGCTGCTAATTAGATGGCGGCAGGTTTGTTGACGTGTATAAGGCTGGCGTCTTGATTGTGGACGTGTGGGCTAGCTAGTAAAGCGTTGATGATTTATAAGCTGGCGTCATTTTTGTTGAGAGCTAGCAGGCTATATGTTGAAGATTAGAAGCCTGGCAGCTGGTTGGCTGTGGGTTAGTGAATCGGCTGATAACGGACGCTACACATATTGAGGCTGGCTGGTAATACGTTGATGGATGGTTGGATGGTGTCTACTCTGTTATTTGCTTTTGGGCTGATAATGTTTTGACATATAATAGGTTGACGTCCATTTTCTTGTTGGTAATACATTGACTGATAATAGGCTGGCTTCTTCTTGGTTGTGGGCTTGTGAGCTGACTGAAAAATTATGGTTGATTTTTATTTTACTGCTTCTCTTTATATATCGTAATATTATAAAACAATAATTCCTAATCGGATTGATTACTATGCAACACAAACAAATATATTGCTTCTATTGCATATTGCTAACCATAAACAGTATTGAATATTTATTAGCACTGAGAGCTAAACTGTGAAAACTGAGCGTTAAGAGTTAGGAACTCACCATTTATTTCTGAGTGCTAAATCTTTCTGTCAGTTGTGTTGCAGGATTCTTGTTGGGTTGTAGAATTCTTATTGACTTGCTTAATTCTTGAAGGGTTGCATGATTCATGATGTGTTGCAGGATTTATGATGGGTTGCAGGATTCTTGTGGGTTGCAAAAAATCTTGTTGGGTTGCAGAATTCTTGTTTTTGGCAGGATTCATGTTGGGTTGTAGAAATCATGTTGGGTTGCAGAAATCATGCTGGATTGCAGAAATCTTGTTGGGTTGCAGAAATTATGTTGGGTTGCAAAATCTTGTTGGGTTTCAGAAATTATGTTGGGTTGCAAAATCTTGTTAGGTTGCAGAAATTATGTTGGGTTGCAAAATCTTGTTAGGTTGTAGAAATCATGTTGGGTTGCAGAAATCATGCTGGATTGCAGAAATCTTGTTGGGTTGCAGAAATTATGTTGGGTTGCAAAATCTTGTTAGGTTGCAGAAATTATGTTGGATTGTAGAAATCTTGTTGGGTTGCTGAAATCATGTTGGGTTGCAGAAATCATGTTGGGTTGTAGAAATCTTGGTGGGTTGCAGAAATCAAGTTGGTTTGGAGAAATCTTTTCTTTTTTCAGGCCACTGTGTCAATGACATGTTTACAGTTATGCTTTGGGCCACTGTGTCAATTTTGTGTGCAATTTTTCTTGTTACAGTTCAGTAAATATGTGTTGCAGGATTCATGATGGGTTGCAGGATTCTTTTGGGTTGCAAAAAATCTTGTTGGGTTGCAGAATTCTTGTTTTTGGCAGGATTCTTGTTGGATTGCAGAAATCTTGTTGGGTTGCAGAAATTATGTTGGGTTGCAAAATCTTGTTAGGTTGCAGAAATTATGTTGGGTTGCAGAAATCTTGTTGCATTGCAAAATCTTGTTAGGTTGCAGAAATCATGTTGGGTTGCAGAAATCTTGTTGGGTTGCAGAAATCTTGTTGCGTTGCAAAATCTTGTTAGGTTGCAGAAATCATGTTGGGTTGCAGAAATCTTGTTGGGTTGCAGAAATCTTGTTGGTTTGCATAAATCTTGTTGGGTTGCAGAAATTTTGTTGGGTTGCAGAAATTATGTTGGGTTGCATAAATCTTGTTGGGTTGCAGAAATTTTGTTAGGTTGCAGAAATCTTGTTGGGTTCCATAAATCTTGTTGGGTTGCAGAAATCTTGTTGGGTTGCAGAAATCTTGTTGGGTTGCAGAAATCTTGTTGGGTTGCAGAAATCTTTTCTTTTTTACAGGATTCGCGGGTTGTAAAAATCACGTTGGGTTGTAGAAATCATGTTGGTTTGCAAAAATCTTATCATTTTTGGAGGATTTGCATTGGGTTGTAGAAATCATGTTAGGTTGTAGAAATCATGTTAGGTTGTAGAAATCATGTTAGGTTGTAGAAATTTTGTTGGGTTGCAGAAATCATGTTGGGTTGCAAAATCATGTTGGATTGTAGAAATCTTGTTGGGTTGCTGAAATCATGTTGGGTTGCAGAAATCTTGTTGGGTTGCTGAAATCATGTTGGGTTGCAGAAATCATGTTGGGTTGCAAAATCATGTTGGGTTGTAGAAATCTTGTTGGGTTGCAGAAATCATGTTTGGTTACAAAATCATGTTGGATTGTAGAAATCTTTTTGGGTTGCAGAAATCATGTTGGATTGTAGAAATCTTTTTGGGTTGCAGAAATCATGTTGGGTTGCAAAAATCATGTTGGGTTGCAGAAATCATGCTGTGTTGCAAAATCATGTTGGATTGTAGAAATCGTGTTGGGTTGCAGAAATCATGTTGGGTTGTAGAAATCTTGTTGGGTTGCAGAAATCATGCTGTGTTGCAAAATCATGTTGGATTGTAGAAATCGTGTTGGGTTGCAGAAATCATGTTGGGTTGTAGAAATCTTGTTGGGTTGCAGAAATCATGCTGTGTTGCAAAATCATGTTGGATTGTAGAAATCTTGTTGGGTTGCTGAAATCATGTTGGGTTGCAGAAATCATGTTGGGTTGCAAAATCATGTTGGATTGTAGAAATCTTGTTGGGTTGCAGAAATCATGTTGGTTTGGAGAAATCTTTTCTTTTTGCAGGCCACCGTGTCAATGACATGTTTACAGTTATGCTTTGGGCCACTGTGTCAATTTTGTGTGCAATTTTTCTTGTTACAGTTCAGTAAATATGTGTTGCAGGATACATGATGGGTTGCAGGATTCGTTTGGGTTTCAAAAAATCTTGTTGTGTTGCAGAATTCTTGTTTTTGGCAGGATTATTGTTGGATTGTAGAAATCATGTTGGGTTGCAGAAATCTTAGTGGGTTGCAGAA